GCAATGAAGTGGAAAATACAATGTTTAAATAATCATTTAGCACTTCATATAGTTTTGTTACAGGTGATCTACAGCTAGGGCTTAGCAGAAGTTAAAGAATCTTTTTTCTAGTATTAAAGAATTACCTCTTTTAGTACTACAAGCCATTTAGCTAACTTTTCTTCTGCCACAATTAAGAATATAAAGATATCAGTGAATACAATTTCTATGGAAAAATGAAGTTGCTTTATGATTTTTTTTAAAGCAGCATCATTTTATGGTTACATTTATGTTCTAAAATTACATTTTGTAGGTATTAGTGTTACTGTGTATCTTCATAAATTCGTTCTCAGGTTTCCTAATAACAATTAGAGAAAGGTGCCAGGTAGAATGTACCTGCTACTCAAGTATCTTTTCTCTTCCTGTACAGAAAGGGTTTTATTAATTAGAAGAAGTGACAATGTATCAAGAACACTTATCTGGAGCTTGTAAGGAAGACTCAATAGCTCCTACAAATTCACATGGTCTGTCAACCCCTATGAGTGAACATCTAGTTTTAGTTATGCAGAGTAACACATTTGATATTCCTGTGATTCTCAACATTCATAGGGGATTGCAACCACTCATAGAGGAGCCCAGAAAGCGCTACACAGCTAAAAGTCTTCAGATGACAGCCAAAATAGAGAGAAGCACTTGAAAGAAGTTTTGGAGCTGTTATACAAGATTTTGCAGAGCCTATGATTTTCTTAGTAGACAGTTGTGTTTTTCAGCGTTGTAGCTTACAAAAGTGTTTGCGAAGATGGACTGCTATTGTAGAGTATGCTCAGATGTGTTTTTGAAAGGTGAATGCAGTTCTTAAGCTGGATGACACCGATATAACAAAGTACATGTGTGTCTAGACAGCACCCTGATTTTCCATTTGTCTTCCATTCTCTTAATGGCATCCTTCCTCTCTACCTCTTCCCACAACTCCATGTCAACAGTTTATCGTGGTGGCTGAGGAGAAAAAAAAAAAGGTAATCTCTTCCCCACGTGGCTGTGCAATAAAGAGATTTGACACAAGCAACATTATAGTATTTATGACTTTGATGCAAGCCAGCAAATTTTTTTAGAAGCAAAGAGCATTCCAGCTTGAGAGGCTGGATTCTTATTGTCACGGCTCAGCATCTTCTATAAATCTAGAGCAAACAAAAGCATCGGAAACAGTTGCATGAATTCTCCTCTCAAGCCAAGCAGCTAAACTCCTGCTGAAATCAAGCTAGCAGAGCAAAAGTCAAGAGCAGAGGCAGATTTTATTCTGCATGCCTAGCCAGTTTATTCTAGGCTTCTTTCAGCGCTATTTTAGTTTGGGTGAAAAAAAAACCCTCACCAACCCACCTTTTAAGGGCTAACAACTGTCTCTTTTCTAATTGTTAGGTTGTTAGATCTCTGTAAAATCCCTTGTAAGTTTTGGGGTGTTGAAGTAACTGGACAACTATCTCCTAAAGAGGACAGCAGTAGATCTAAAACCACAAGTTACAGAGCTGTGCTGTATCCTGTCAGTACTCTGCCCTCCTTCACAGTGGGAAGGAATTGGAGACCTCTAGGAATTGGAGACATCTACTCAAATGTGGTGGGGGGGGTGTTTTTTTTTTTTTTTTTTGATCATAGTCCTTTTCACCATTCCTGTGAGACCTTGCTTCCCCTGAGCCTTAGATTACTGGCTTGAAAGCAAATCATTAGAGTATTGAAGCTTTGGTAGCTTAAAATCGAGTTATCAACTCATACATGAAACAAAAAGCCTAATTACTGCCAAAATATAAATATACTTATTTACAGCAGACCTAAGTAGATATCTTATGCAGTTCTCAAGTATTCTTGCTCTACACTGTCAATAAATGTGCCCTCTACCTGTGACATTCACCCTGAAGAATTTGATGGCAACACTTTCTGACTGGTCTTGTGCTTATGTATAACTTGGCAGTGTTATGGTGTAGGAAACTCATACCATGACAAGATTTTTCATGATTATGAGCAGTAGCTCGGCAGTGGAATTTTCCTTTATGGGTCTGTTCCAAGAACTGTCAAAAAAAATCTTCCAGTTCAAGCAGGACAGTTTTGATCACCCCCTTAAGTGGTTTAAAGAGTCCAATTTCTTTGTCAAGGTTCTCAGAGAAAGAAGGCAATTTCTCAAGGCACACAATATTAGTCCCCAACCTATCAGTCACTGTTATGAGACAAGCCTTGAGAGTCTGATGGCTGAGGTCTATTAACTGCTCACAAGATTGATAACAGGGTAAGCTGCAAAGGAAACGTTAGATTTCCAATCAGTTTGACAATCTTTTAAACTTCTTGCAATACCATAGTAGAATAGATGGTGCCTGATACACACAGATATTTCATCAGAAACTATTTTTCATTTATACTTCCATAAACAAAGAGAGAGGTAACTGCATCTGCACAAGCCAGGAAGCTGAAGCCCTTCTCTTTCAATGCCCACTTAGTATCAGCTTGGGAATTTCTCTTCTGCTTGATCAGGAAATTAGTGTGAAAGAGCAGACTATGTAGTTACTTCAGACTGCGCAGCCTTTATACATCTACAATGTTTAGTTAACAGTGTTAAGTTTGGGTTTGTTTTTTTTTTTAGGGTAAGCTAGTACTACTCTAGAGCAATACCATCCGGTCTCTTCATCTCCTAGATGATGCTATTTCAGAGATTTCTTCGTAGTAGGGTATATAAGAAAATGCAGACCAAAAATACCAGGGAGGAGTTGTGCAGACTCATGCCAAACCCCTATTTTTTTAGTTGTCCTCATGTCAGACTTTAGAAACTGACAGCGCCTCAACTCTTCCAAAGAAAAAATTAGGTGGAGCTGGAGGTTGTCTCGCTGCTGGGAAAGCAGTCAGCCTTCTGTTCCCAGAATGACGAGTGACTGGAAAAAGTTCTCTGTGAAGCAGATTTTTGCCTACGTAGGGACGTGGCAAGAATTCTGATGCGCTTTTAAGCCCAACCAGTTCTGGCCATGCAGCACATGGCCGGACAGGTGGGCACCGACTGCGCCCATCATCTCAGCTTTTTTCCTGTTCCAAACGAACACTCCACACTACTTCATTCACACCGCTTGTGCCCACATAACCGCACTCTGATCTTTGCAGTGCTTTACTGCAGCTTTGCTTACATCTCTTCCCAAGTAATTAATTTTGCAGTTCATCTAATGAGTCCCTCGGTCAATTTCACGATCATGTAAGTTAATCCCTATAGTTACTGCACAGCTTGCAGGTGTAGATAGAACCTTCAACGGTATGATGCTGTAGATCTTGGAGATAATTCTTAAAATGTGCTACTAATAAACAGATATAAGAACAATTTTGACATCTATTATTTATAAATACATAAGCAAACCCAGAATCAAATATCAGAACTCAATGAGCCAGGCATCTTATACTTACTATTGCTTACCCTTCAGAGCAGATTTTGCTTTTGCATTGCAACCCTGGAAGCATGAGACATTCAAATCCTAATAACAAAATTAATTTACTTAAATATTTTGACATATCAGAAGTTCTTAATATCTGACCAATGTTAATTAAGAGTCTTGAAAAGTCCATTAGGGCTAAAAGTCAACTGTTTCACAAAAAAAGGCAACACACTCAGTTCTGAATGGTGGAGGCATTAGCAACAGAACAGTCATACTATGTTCCCAGAAAAATGATCTGGTTTCTCTATGGGTGATAAGAAAGTTCACCAATGTTTTTCTGCAATACTTCGATGCACATATCATAGTTTTAAATCTGACATTCTACTTCAAAAGACCTAAGGAATAACAGTCCATTTTATTTTGGAATACCTACGTATGCTTTTGTATTAATAACTGTTCCCAGGTTACATTTTAGATGTAAATTAAAAGCTATTTTACTGTAATCATACGGGGCCCAGATTTCTGGATTCTGTGACATTTTAGTCTTTCCCTGCATTGACGGATGTACATTTTTGAACTACTATTGCCCACCATCATTGTAGCCCCATAAGAATAGTTATCTACTTCTACAATGGTAGTTATATGAAAATAATACATGTAACACAGTTACTCTACTTTTGCCTAACTTGTGCATTCTGTTTTTTACTTAGTCTCCATGTTTGTTCTGTTTGTGATGTGTATTCCACCCTCTTCCATTTCAGTCTTTTCCACTTCTCCCTGAAAAAGTCCTTCTGGTATATTTATACCCCATATCACTTTTTCCAAGTCTCTCCACCCCCTCAATCCTGTGGTAGTACCTTTGACTCTATCCATCACTGACTGGACTAAAAGCAATTCACTTTTGTAATTTACAAGATACAACAGCAAAAATTCTCACTGCATCAAGGTTATGGGGCATTTTAAAACACATTATATGGGCCAAGTGCTTCAATTTATGTAATCTACTTTTCTTAATTTCTTTGTGTATTCGTAACAGAGTACACAAGACATTACCAGATGGACAAACTCAGATTTAAAGAGAACATGAAGGAAAATGAAACATTTCACTAGAATGTTACCATTTTATCACAACATTAAAAGAAACAGGATTAAGCACGTCCCAGATGTGGTGTAAGAGATTTTTTTTTTTTCTTTAAATCTTGGACACTGTACCTATTATACAGATGCTATGACTGAAATTAATCACAAGCCCATACAGCCTTAATTATTCATAAGTATGTTCTGTTCTAAAGGAATCTTCCTATATTCTTCAGCATATTTGATGGACTAAGCAGAGTTCTGTAGCACTAAACACCGTTGCAATGATTCATGTGAACAAAATTCTTTTTGTTTTTAATCTCACACTGTAATCTGTTCTTGCATTTACTCCAACAATTTTCAGACATGTGCATACAAAAAAGCGTAAATGTAAACAAAATTCTTCTGTAAAATCTAAAAGTATTTTTTCTTTCTTTAATTAAAAACTCTGTAGTATTGACTTAAGATAATTATATTCAACTTCTTCCTTACAACAAGCATGCCAAAATTAGCTGGCTATATTCTCCTTTTCTATTTTTAGTCTCCCTTCCAAAGTCTTCCTGAACTGAAAGATAAAAGATGTTCCCAGAAACAAAACCATAAAGACCCCTAAAAATGTGAATAGAGCAGTTTAAATTGGAAGTAACTGTCAGATGGTTTTGATCAAAGTAATCTATTTCAATGCCATAAGCCATTTGAATGAACATATGATTAACGAGAAAACTGCCGACTGTCCGATTTCTTGCTGATGTGTTTGAAGATTTTAGCTTTGTGGACGTTCTTTGATTTCTGGTAACCAAATCCCCCACCTCCACCTCTTTTCTGTAGTCTTCTGCCATGGTTGCTGTTCACATCTGGAATTTTATTGGTTAAAGAACTTAAAAAGGAATCATTTGAAATGTTGCTTTTTAGGTATTGTAAGAGTTATTAATGTGGGAAAAAAAAAAAACAGCATTATACAAAAAGTTGAGTTGCATAACTACAGACAAAACTAGGACCTTGTGCCTGAGGTTCTAAATAATGCTTTTGTTCCTCCAGTTGTCCAACTAAGCTGGCCAAAGTACCACTGCTTCAAATTCCATCCACTGGCAGGTTTGACAGTAATCCAGATACAGTCTATTTCATGCTCTCGCTCCTCTATTTCAGTATTCCATGATTATTTAACTTAAGCATGTACCTTTCAGTGCAAATAATTCTGCATGGGGGAAACAATGCTCTAGAACATGTATGCAATATTCCAGTATCTGCTATCCTGCAGAAACTGAAGCATGTATGTGCACTAAAACAGATGTCTGTAAACAAATATTAAAACTGCAAAAATTGCAGTTTCTTATTTTGATAAACCACTGTTGGAGCATGATGCATTTATGTGATTAATAGCAAAAAAACCCTCAACCAAACACAAAGGAAAAAAAAAAACCCCCAACACCACCA